CAGACTCTGGCATTATTCGTGCTGCTGCTGGTAGGGACTTTGACGTGCACTACCGTCATGTCGATGAAATGCCAAGGCACCAGCGGAGGGTGCCTAGTTCAGTGGTGGTTGCAGAGGTGAATGACAGTGCCGATGAGGAAATGGCTATCGAAGACGGGGAGATGGTGTCAGAGATCCACGGACTGAATCGCACTCGAGACATTTCTGAAGGCGAGGATGGTGAGTTTGAACAAGACATTTCTGAAGGTGAGGACGGTGAGTTTGCAGCTGCTCGCTTGAATGGTGTTGAAATGGATGCCACCCACACCCAGCACCAACTGTCTGATTCTGATACCAATGTTCATCCGTTGGAATCTGTTGAGGAACCGGCCGTGCATAGGGGGTCCCAGCTCAGCAATGCCGAAGAGGACAGGGAAGCTGCCAATGCACCCACGGTCATGGATGCTTGTACGAGGGAAACATTAGGTGAGGACAATGACTGCTCTCAAGCAAGGGATGGAATGGTGGCTCCACATCCACAGAGTGAAGGTGTGGCCGGTGCTGGCGATTTTAACAGAGATAAACCAGAGCTGCCAGCTTCGTGCAGAGTTTTTGACCTCAACGTCGTCGAAACTCCAGATGCCTGCGAAATGACTGAGATCTCTGGTGATCCTCAAGCAGATCTTGTTTCTGATTCTGTGCCTGATCTAGTTGGCCGGATACACCAGCAAACTAACTGTCATGCTTCAGAAATTGAAGGTCAAGATGAGCGTGCAGGGGATAGTCACATGTCGAAGAATGGGCATGACTTGATTAGGTATGATCTGAACAGTGAGGCTGTTGAAGATGCACAGGATATTCACCTGTTGGAGAATGAGAAATTACTTCTAAGTCATGGCATTGATGCGCATGATATGACTAGAATCGAATGGAGCAATGGGCATTTACATCTGAATCAAAATGCAGATGGGCTGGAACATGAAAACGACTGGATGGAGAACCATACTGTGATTTGAGCAGCTGCTGCTAAGGATGGCATGGATGGACATCCTGTCCGTAATTATCAAATGGCGCCAGAACCCAAGCGTTTACCTATGGGTGTCTATGATTTGATAGCTACAATCTGAAAAGCGAGAAAATGCTTCTAAATGATGGTGCAGACAAGCATGCACATGATAGTTGCCATTTGAGGATGGGCAAATGCTTCTCAATCAGTCTGCGAATCGACAGGCTAGAATTCACGATAGAGCCAATGAGCTTAACAATTCCTGTGATTAATCTCAAGATGATGATTATGAAGAGCAGTCTGATATCAGGAGTTTCTCGAATCCAAGTAAGCCACTTTCGATTTTCTTTTGTTGTACTCTCAAGGGAAAGATAAAAAATCCTTCACATGCATCTGAACATGTTCACTATACACACCTGTAGTATTCTGCAACAGCAAACCTCAACTTTTTCTCACGATCCTCAGATTTTGTTGGACCAAGATCACGACCTTTTATTTGCCTTATATGGGATCCCTTTACAGTTGGTACACCTGTTCTGTGCTAACATTAGCTTTGTTCTTGATATGTTTTGTGTGAACTGTCATCCACAAACCACAATTCCTGGCTCTGCATGGCTACATGATGCAGTGAACACTGCATTGGACATTTGGACGATGAAAAGTACTTGCTAGGTCTCTAATATACCGTTTGTTTTTAGTAGCATATAAACATGTTTGTGCTATGGGAGAGCATACTATCGAACGGTTTTCACATAATCTAAAAAATGTTTGTGCTATGTCTCTAATAAACTGAATTCATACACAAAATCGAACGGTTTTCACATATTCAGCTGCTCTTCTGCTCATGTTCTATTGATTTCAATACATCGACATGGATGAAACCAAAATGGTTGACTGTTTGTACTAGATGTATGCGTTCTGCATACTCAACGAATATTTCGTCAGATCAGGCAGGCTGTGTTCTTGTGTATTTGTGCTGTCGCGTGACAGTTGCAAACAATAATAATTTGTTGAGTTCCTTGATTCGCCTGGTTTGTATTGAAAAATGAGAACCTATTTGTTCCTTAGCTTGTTTTTGTTGAGAGTGAGTGAATTTGACAAGTTTACTTTGCTTTCGCTGACTGCTGGGGTACTAGAAATAATAGTAGATTGATTATGACTTGCTAACTTATTACCTTTTGTTTGTTGTGTGTTTTGTTGGTCAGAAGCTATCAATGCCTGGGAGTGGGACCTGCCATTCTCTGAGCTTGGGAAGTGGGCAAGTGGCCATGTTGTTTGCCTAGCCGGCTCCGAGATTCTGCGTCAGGCAGTGCAAATATGTCAACCTGGAGCATGGGAAACAAGATAGCATTGCGCGGGGCTGATCTGGTGAAGTTGGTGGGTTCGTTCATGCAATGTTTTTTTTTAGATTCCCAGAGCCAGAGCTGAGGGTGGTAGACTGGTAGCGGTACTCTTCAGTTTTTGCTTGCTAGAATTTGCTGGTAGTAATTAGTGTAGATATTTTGGTGAACAGTAGGTGGCGCATGAACTTGAGCAGCAGCAGCAGCAGACTATGCTGCTCTTTCAGGTTTGTTGTTTGGTATTTATTTGCCCTGTACTGCTTGGCTTGACATCCTTGTTGAAGATTCTTGAGAAACGCTGGTTCGGTGTGTGATATAATAATTATTAATGAGCATATAATAAGTGGGATATGTGTGCAGTGCAGTGCAGTATAATACCACATGGATCTCTCTCTGATGATGAATGGAACCGATTGATTATCCAGGCAGCATCTGTAATGTGAATATGTGATGCATCCATCCATACATATACGATGCGAATACGACATAACATAAGGTTTCCTGTCCTTTCCGTTTCCATGCTGGTGCCAGTGCGTGTGCGTGCATGCATTCTAGTTCTAGCTTTGATTTGCTGCCGAGGTGGATTAGGTGATGCATGGCCACATTATGTATCTGCCTGGCGGGTGGCGGTGGCGGTGGCGGTGGCGGGCTGAGCCAACGGGAAATGGCGGACTCGGTTTCGGTTGGTTCGTGGCCGGCGAATGGCGAACGCACGGTGGGCCGCGTAAAACTAGAATATGGGCCCATCCATGGATAATCTGCGGCCCGTCTCACTGATGGTAGATCACCCTCGCCAGCCCAATGGGCCTTACGTTTCCGTTCTTGCTCCTGGCTGCGGAGTCGTCGTCTTCTATCTCGGCTCGGGTCTTGAAGCCACACCACGCTCGGCAAAGGAAGAAGGTGCGGCTGCGACACACACAGGCTTCTGTCTACTGCCTCTGATCTTCGCGTCACGTTACAGTCGCAGCCAGGGCGCCCGGCCCCGAGGAGAAGACGTGTCAGCGAAGCGGCGGCGTGGTGGGATGATCTCGCAGTTCGTTCTGTCGCAGCGCGGCGACCACATCGTCTTCCGAGGAGAAGATCCCCGTCCTGATCCCCCACCGCCCGCCTGCCGGCGTCGGCGGACCACATCGTCTTTCGTTTTGCTGCGCTGTCTGTAAGATGCTAGATCCCCGTCCCATCCCCCACCGGCGATCTCGGCGGAAATGTTTTCTTCCGTATTTGTGCGGGCTGTCTGGGGGGGGTGGATGATCGCGTCCCATCGAGGCTGAGGAGTTCGTGGCGGCCCATTACCATGAAGATCAGCATGCATTCTCTTATTCGTTTCGAAGTGAGATCTTCTTCCGGAAGGTGAAGTTCTGGAATGACGACGAGGCAGAGGAGGCTTCCCCAGTCTTCGTACGTATCTGTTACTTGTTACCCGATTACCAGGCATACACTTCCGGAAGGTGAATGGGCATGACTTGACGAGCCTAGTAGAAGCAGGTATGACTCTGATTAGGTATGATCTGAACTGCAAATTTTGACGAGCCTGTGGTAGACAACTTAGCAGCAGTAACTGTGATTCTTGAAATGTGGTGCACTTATTAAATGGGCCAGTCTTGCAAGACTTTGTTTTTTATTTACCGAACTAGCACTCAGATTGTGTATATGTGCACTTATAAACAGGGAGACGTTTCATGACTTTTAGTTACATTTCATTAAATCCGGCTATAACTTTACATCTGAGATTGAGGATATTTGAACAATTGAACTGAATCTCAAACGACTTTTTTGCTTTTTTTCATTAATCATCAGCTTATACTTATCGTTTCATGACTTTATTTTTTTCATTTTCAATCTTCACATCTGAGATTGACGGAACAATTCAAATGAAAAGTTACCTCACTTCTTGCTCTCAATGAGGATTTGAGCATTGGAAGAACTGCATCTTCATCATACACGGTACGATTATTAGCTTTTTTCCTTTGACAACTAGCTTAGGCAAACTATAATCTGAATGATATATGGATATGAAACAAGAAATATATTTCTCCTTGTACATCTTTCATGATGCTCTGTTTCCGTAATATTGGAGACCAATCTATGAAGCTTATAGTGTTTCACTTATTCTGGAACTCACAATGTGATTAGTTATTCACTGCATACATTTATAGTCACTATACTTATTTGCATTCCAGAGTGTTTTTGCACAAGTGATTCCTTTAACGTAAACTTGAATCTACTCACAACTTGAACCTCACTTATTTTTTTTTAGCATGCTGCTCTTTTCTATTTGTCCAATTGTCATGGATATATTGTTTAATGCTGATCACATACAATATTACATTTTTAAAGACAGATTACAGAAGTTCTTCTGGAGGAGGAACAGTCATTCTTGATGATTGCAACTTCCATGAGTCAGTACATCTGGACAGTTTTGATATTGACAGAACTTTGACTTTAGTAAGTACTCAAATAAGGCTTTTCTGTCTGTTTGTTTATGTTTTTGCAGAACTTGAGCACTATATTTCGAGTTTATCACTCCCTCCATTCCAAATTATAAGTCATTCTGCCTTTTTTAATATAGCTTTTGCTATACATGTAGATATATTATTTTATGTTCAGATACATAGCTTTTACTATGTATCTAGAAAAACTAAAATGACTTATAATTTGGAGCGGGGATTGTATAGATACCGCCTGACGGAGAATTTCCTGTAATGAACTACTGGATGACCCAAGAATTTAAGCCGCCATTTCGTGTAACCGCACTAATTGAAGAAGCTGGACCATCAAGGGTATGGAATGCTTGTCTTGCTATTATGCATTGATGAAAACTATGATTGAATTTGGTGAAACTACAGTTCTTTGATATCTACACAGGCTGAAGTTCTACTGAAAATAAGAGCAGACTTCTCCACGAATGTCACTGCTAACACAATCACAGTACAAAATGCCAGTGCCCGTGATACACAATGAGGTCAACTGCAGTTATATATTTATTCCTATGAAGTTAAAAAAAGTGAAATATTGGCCGATGCTTATATTGTTAGCTAAAGTTCCCCCTATCATGGGTTACATTGCAGAGCGAGTTTTGAGTTGGAAGCTGGAGCAGTTGGACAGAACCGATTTCAAGGAAGGATCCAGGAGACTTGAGTGGAATCTAAAGAAGGCAAGTGCCAACAAGGATATGTACATCTTGCATAAGATGATATGCATTTGCAATGTTAACTTAAAACTAATAACCAGTTTTCTGTAGCTTGCTAAACAATTTTAACTTCACACTACAGATTGTTGGTGGTTCTGAGCACACCCTTCGTGCAAAGCTGACATTTTCCCAGGAGTCACATGGTACATGTTTTGTTGGAAGCATTACTTGTACCCTGGCCTGGCAACATCATGTAATTTCCTGTTACGCAACTTGCCCTGACATTCTTCTTTTCTTTGTGAAATGCAGGAAATATCACAAAGGAAGCTGGCCCAGTGAATATGAATTTCACTATACCGATGTACAATGCATCTAAGTTGCAGGCAAGGCCATATACTTTTGTATGGTACATTTGTGGGTTGTATCCATTGGCACTGCAGGGCTTAAGAGTGTTTTTGTTGTCCACTAGAAAAACTATTTGCCTAATCATTGTATCATGATTAATTATCTTTTAGTGCATTTTTTTTTTGCTTTGCCGTGTGCTTTCTGAAACTTGTCTCTACATGGTGCTATACACTTTTAGATATGTAGTTGTTATGATCCTCCAAGGCCTTAATTAATTGCTCAAAAACATTGACACGCAGAATTGTTGCAGAATGTTTCTGATCAACTATGAACTGTATTACTCTCCTGCAGGTCAGGTATCTTCAGATCGCAAAGAAATCGAAGGCATACAACCCTTACAGATGGGTGCGATATGTAACACAAGCTAACTCCTACGTAGCTCGTCTATGAGGAACCCGCATCTGTACTGTACACTTGTTTCCAGTCCATTTTTTGGACACAGTGGCTTGTGTTTGTAACTTTATATAGGAATCCGCAATACCACTCAGCTCCTGTAGTTGAACGTGTTTTAGGGACAATTTTTTCCCCTCTTGCAATGTGCAGATGAATCGTTCATGTTTTAATGCTACAAAATGGATGAAGTTCTTGTTCATGACACTTGTGGGACATTGGGACCTATATTGTCTTACATAATTTCTGTGAAGTTTTAGAAATTATGAACTCTCAGTTAAGTTAATTATTAAGTTCTTTCTATTAAACTATTAATAATGTCTTTTCAGTTGATTTCAAGTCCTAAGGGTACTCATGTATATCCCTTCTTCTTCTTTTTCCAAGAAAGATATTTGGTATGGATGTTTTTTTTTTCAGAGGTGGATATGCAGTTAGGTCGACGACGCATGCAGATCGAGTTGGGCATGCATGACCGGACACGTAGACACGCGTGCGGATGTCGCATGCAACACATGGTGGTGGGACATGCAATGCATTGCATTTGCATGGTAGAGACCCCGACGGCCCGACCCGCGTACGTACGTGTTGGTAGCGGTCGCGGCAAAAGGTCGGCGTTCATTGAGATTTGAGACGTGGACGCAGCACGTTGTGGGCGGACGGGTCACGACTCACGGGACCATGCACCCACGTGCATCACTGACACAGAAAATTAAAGGCAACTTGCTTATATATTAGATTAGAAACATGGCTTAAAGCATCTCTAAAAGTTTTGCAAAATTCACTAGCTAGATCAATAACGTCATCAAGTTAACCAAAAAGAGTAGAGATCACCTGCCATAATCATTGGTTTACCAAGTAGAGTAATTTTTAATGAGCTTTTGGAGATACTCTAACGGTGCGTCAATCAATATAAACGGTGTGCAGTGCAACGCAATGCATTGTGTAGCAGTAATGTTGGTAGCTGCTAGCTAGCTGGTCCTTTTTCTTTTTTCTCCATCAAAGTTGGACCATCCATCCCATCCATGAGCATGACCCACCGGTTCCATTGCTTCTCCTCCATCCCATTCTTCAATTATTATTAGCAGTTCTCTATCTATTTTATTGCAACAACAATTGTTATATATAATAAATGGAATAGTATTGTATAGTATAATGGCCATGCATGCAATTAAGGTAAACGGATGGGAGTGAGAGCTTAATTAGGAGCAATGCTGTTGTTGATTGGTCACTTCATCTGATCTACTTTATTAATTTCCCCGGCCCTTTTAACATTAAATAAATATAATTGTAATAAAACACAAAGATGCATGAGAATTGAAAAGGTTGTAAAGCAGAATGCATGGCTGACTATTCAGGCGTGTTTGGGCTGCTTGCGACCACTGCCCGGAGGCTCTACCGCGCCTGTAATGTAAGTTGACATGTTTAGGTCGATGGTCCGCAAGTTTAGCTCCGGCTTCGCAGAGCAACACTCGACCTCTCCGCCTGGCGCTCTCGAAACAACCAAAACCCTCGCTTTCTTCTGAATCGAAGCCTGCTCTGCGACGCACGCGGGCGATTTTGGGGGCGGCGGGGTGGCTCGCTGGCTCAAGCGGAAGGGGGAACGCCTTCGCGCGCCCCCCGCCCTCCGCCTCCCGCCTGGCCTTGCTGAAAATAAAATGGCGGCGATTTCACGGCCTTTATATACGGGTTCCCACTCTCCACTCTCTCCTTCTTCCACTGGTGCTTGCTCTTCCACCTCCCTCGTGAGAGACCCCATGTGAGTTGTGGTGCGCGTGGCGGCGGCGGCGACCTCCTACTGGTTGTGGGTTAGGTCACCGGCACAGAAGTTTCTTCGCTGCTGCCCTCGCTTCCTGGGCCATTGGGACTCCGTGGCGCTGTGTTCTCTTCTTCTCCGTCTCAAGTGACCGCTTGCCTTTTTCCCGATCTCGCATCCTCTACTTCCAGATTCGCCCTCTCCGTTGTTTGGACCCTTGAGCCAAGGTGAAATCAACCCCAATCTTCTTTTTTGTGGTGCTTCTTGAACCTATTAGGGTTTCTTTGTTCGTCGTCGCTCATGATCCGTTAGGGTTTCATACTTGTTATAACCGCTTCATGCTCCTATTAGGGTTACTTGTACTTTTGGTCGTTTTGATCCGTTGGGCTCGTGATCTCGTTATGGTTGTTGATCTGTTCTGCATTTGTATTGTACCTTGTTGTTTCATAACCTGCTTGATGCAGCTTGTTAGTGTTACTTGTACCTTGTTGTTCTTGATCCGTTAGGGATGTTGATCTGCTTCGATTACTATTGCTCGAAGTTTTTGTTCCATCATTGGTCGATGATGTTGTCCACATAGTAATCGGGAGGCATCACATACAAGATGCAAATTGCGTGTTTTTGTTGGCATGCATTCATTTCACATTCATGTTGATGCCTAGTAGGGTACATTGTCGAAATCATGTTACATTTTTACATGCTTGTAGATGAATTTGTCTTTGAGCCATGACATGTCAGGTAGGAAGGCAACGCTTTGATCGTTGTTATGGTTACCTTTGTATCCACTAGGTCAAAAGGAAAACCCTCAACTCGAAACCCCACCGCCTCGATCCTATAGCACCGGCCCCGCTTAGGGATGAAAATGAACAAGATGCACAGAGAACACCGAGAATGATATACAATTTCACTAATTCAGAGTGTATTTCTATGATTAGGATGAAGAGAGTTGCTTTTTTAAGTTAGTGAGAACTTTTAGAGAGAGGAGTCTTGTCACCGATAGGGAGGGGTGTCAGAGAAGAGCAAGTTGCCATGTTTTTTACATGTTGTAGGGCACAACCAAAGATTTAGGGTTGTCCACCACCCTTTAGGAGGTCCATCCAAACTATCCACAAGCACTTCCATCGTGTGTTGTATGTCAGTGGGTGAGCTTAGGAATGAAATGATAAAGCCAACCTAGCACTACCACTCACCCAAAGATTCTTGGAAGCCATACATGGAATCCATATTTTAAGGTAATTGTATACCCGGGTTCATTAGTTACATTTGACCTGCTGCAATGACCTCCACCCATGCTTTTTAGGATGTCATTGGCTTTTATAGATGGCACTCATTTCCTAGCAAGGCTTCCTAGGCGCAAGCAACAAGCTTTTAGGGGTAGGAAAAAGGATCCCACCCAAAATGTGATGGTAGTCGTGAATTGTGATCTAAAATTCACTTATGTCCCTGGTTGGCCGGGAGGGCTCTGCCCATGATGCAATCCTTTTAAGCGTATGTCAGAGCTGTGGAAGATGGCTTGAGTTTGCTGTAAGGTAATTGCACACCAACACTAATTACATATTCCATGGCCTATTAACACACACTCTCACAAGAGATGTCTTGTGTAGGTAAAATGTTCTTGGTAGATGCTGGGTATGCATGCAAAAAATGGTTTCCTACCTCCCCATGGGGGTTAGGTACCATTTGTCCTGAGTATGGCCCAAGGAACAGCCCACCAATGCAAGGGAGCTCTACAACCTTAGGCACTCATCACTTAGAGAGTGACTGTGGAGAGGGCTATAGGTGCAATCAAGGGCGTGTTTAGGATCTTGGACAACAAACCCTTCCGCAAGTATAGGACACAAGTGAAGCTTGTAGTTGCTCGTGCCATTTTGCATAATGGATCTTAGGTTTTGGCATTGATGAAGTAGTGCCTCGATGAGGAAGGTTTCACTACTTATCGCGATCCAACCAACCCGCCCCTAGCCCATCTCGACCAAGACTCTGCTGACATGGTGAAATAAGGGATGCCATTTGCAATGCTATGTGGGAAGGAGGGGAACAAACACTAGTTGATGTAATATGTTCTTGAATTTAGTTTCATTGCCGCTATGGAACTCATGTGTGTGTCATGGTGATGTAATAATTTGGTGGACAAAGTGAGACCAATTTTATGCTTCATTCATTCTCGTTCTTGAAACATTCTGCTCTTCATGATCTGTCACCTGTGGTTAGTTCATACAACTATTAATATTGTTGTCACCGTTTTGACTAATTTCGTTGTTGATTTCATTACATGCCAGTCCTAGGATGGATTCTGGGTGCATTTGAGGGTGGGTTTGTTGTCGGTACTTCAATGATGGAGCAGCTCATCAATGGTGGTTCTCGCCTCTATTGTAGTTGGAAGTTGGTGTCGCCGCTTCTTATTTGGTACCGGTGTCGGTAAGTCTTGAGTTGTAGTCTTGCAAAGCAACAAACCCTGTTGATGTTGTTGCTGCCCCAGAGCTGGGAATGGGGTCATGGGCAATGAGGTGGACCAACACCACCTCCGGCTTTGTGCTAAGGAGAATGTCTCGCCTTGTTAGTGATGGTAGCAGTGCCCGAGAAGGTTTTCAAGGACAAAGATGTGAATTCTGTGGCCAAAGCCCTCAAGCAAGCCTGTGGGAGGTTGTTAGCCCAACTCAAGTGTACAACCACTTGAGTAAGTGGAGGGTAAATGGGCTAGGGGTGAGCAAGTTGAAGGACCTTAGTGTCGCTCTTTGGGATGACCAGCTCATGCTATCATGCTTGAGCAAGAGCACTACCTTGGCCAACGCAAGGTAGCAGCTTGATCTCGCTTTGCCTTGACTACCTACATTTGCCTTTCTTAAACTACATTTTCCCAACTCGCAGGACCATCCTAAAGATGCAGTAGTTTCTTAATCGCCCTATTAGGTTCTATAATCGAGATGGAGGCTATCTTTGCTAATGCCATGGCCACGTGCAAGTTTGCACTTGGGTCCTGTGAAGCCTTAGGGCGAACCAAGTCGACAAAGTTGTTGGTGCCAAGACCGATGGTCCTCCTTGACCCACACCACAGCTCCCAAGTGAACAGGGAGGGATAGCAAGGCCAATCGAATCGCTTCCTACCTCCTCATTGCCGCCCAAAGAGGAAGAGAGGGAACTTCTCCGAGGAGGAGATGCTCATGTTGACTAACATGTCGATGTCAGGAACAATGTGGCCAATGCTCTTAGGGAGACTGGACTCGCCCCATGTTGATGCCAACTGCAC